CATAGACCTCTAGAAACAAGGGGAAAGACCTGAAGAGGGCTGAAGTCCAGGTCTGGAGCCCAGAGCACGTGTTTGGGAGTCAGGCTGGCAGATGAAGGGGTGGACTGAGGAGTGGACTCCTGCAGCATAGTGCAGAATCAGGACCCCAAGCCTAGGGGTGGAGTGTGCTGACCCTCCTTGGCTCAGAGCCAACTCCAGGAGAGACAGACTTACAGAGGCCAAGATGGCAGGGCAGACAAGCTGGGGAAAGGGTATGGAGGGAAGCCATAGAAGATGTGTACAACTCCAAGACACGGGTGAGATGCAGTAGACAAGAGCTCACCCACCAGTGGAAGGGCACTGGGCGTAGTGCTGGGCTCAGAGCTGCCATAGGTTAGACCTAGCCTGGAATGGAGAGGGACAAGGTGAAGCAGGTGGACATGACACCCACAAGCCCAGGTGCTAGATCCTACCTGATCTTTGCAGAGCCCTGGGGTCCTGGAAGGGCCAAGAACAGAGGGCCTCCAGCTGCTTGGGTCCAGCCATGTCTGACAATATCCTCATATGTTTCCCCTTCTCTTGCAGCCAGCACCACGGCCCCATCTGTCTTTCCCTTGGCCCCCAGCTGTGGGGCCACTTCTGGCTCCACAGTGACCATGGGCTGCCTGGTCAAGGGCTACTTCCCCGAGCCAGTGACCGTGACCTGGAACTCCGGAGCCCTGTCCAGCGGAGTGCACACCTTCCCAGCTGTCCTGCAGTCCGGACTCTACACCCTCAGCAGCTCAGCAACTGTGTCCTCTAGCACCTGGCCCAGCCAGACCTACATATGCAATGTAAACCACCCGGCAAGCAAAACCAAGGTGGACAAGAAAATTGGTGAGAGGATGGCTACAGGAGAAAGGGGTTAACTGGAGGGTCAGGCCTGGAAATCTCTGCTCATGCCCCTCACACTCAGAGTAGTCCCTTGAGCTGGATGTCCATGTTGCACATCCTGGACACATCAATGTGGTCACAGGTCTTGACCTTCTAAGGATCACATCCAGGAACAGCCTGACCTTAGGCCACACTAGACTCACCCTTTTCCCTGGCTTGGTCCCTTCTTTCCTCTAGACCCAAGTAACACCCAGCCTTCTCTCTGCAGTACCCAATGACTCGTCGTCCTCATCCGATTCCTGCTCATGTCCCACGTGTCCAGGTGAGTCACCAGGTCTTGCTCTCCAGCCCCAGGATGGGGACAAGTGTCCTAAGATGCCCTATGTGAGAGGGTGGCCCAGGTGCTGACCCATCGCCATCTCTCTCATCAGCTCCTGAAGTCTTAGGGGGACCATCCGTCTTCATCTTCCCCCCGAAGCCCAAGGACGCACTCTTGATCTCCCTGACCCCCAAGATCACGTGTGTGGTAGTGGATGTGAGCCAGGATGATCCTGAGATCCAGTTTAGCTGGTTTGTGGATAATGTGGAGGTGCACACAGCTCAGAAACAGCACCAGGAGAAGCAGTACAATGGCACGTTCCGTGTGGTCAGCGTCCTCCCCATCGGGCACCAGGACTGGCTGAAGGGCAAGGAGTTCAAGTGCAAGATCAACAGCAATAACCTCCCGGCTCCCATCGAGAGAACCATCTCTAAATCCAAAGGTGGGAACGGGCGAGGTGTGCAGGGTAGAAATGTGATGGGCATCTGGACTGAGCTTGGTGTGGACAGCTCTCTACTTTGGCAGTGACTTCTGTTCTGACTTCTGTCCCCACAGGGCAAGCCCGGGTACCTCAGGTGTACACCCTACCCCCACCCCGGGAGCAGCTGTCTAAGAAGACGGTCAGTCTGACCTGCATGGTTATGGGCTTCTACCCTGAGGACATCGATGTGGAGTGGGCGAGGAATGGACAACCAGAGCAGAACTTCAAGAACACCCCGCCTATCCTGGATGCCGATGGGTCCTTCTTCCTCTACAGCAAACTCACTGTGGACGCAAGCAGTTGGCTAGAAGGAGAATCATATACCTGCTCCGTGGTGCATGAGGCTCTGCACAACCACCAAATGCAGAAGACCCTCTCCCGCACTCCGGGTAAATGAGTCCAGCACCCAGCAAGATCTCAGGTCCTACGGGACACTGACACCGACCCTCACCCCTAAACCCATGTAAATAAAGCACCCGGAGCTACCCTGTGAGACTATCCTGGTTATTTACAAGGCACAGAACTCATGGTATACCTAGGCTATGGGCTGTGGGGTCTGGCCAGGCTTGGAGGCCTGAGTTATCATCAGGGAAAGAACATGGGTTTTGCACTGCCAGAGCCAGAGCATGCCTGCCCTTACCAGAAATCATCTCTAACTGAGGAGGGGGAGGACTGGCCCAAGGAGCCCTCTCTATACCCTCCCTCCACCTGGGAGCTGCTTTGTGCTGAGCCTGGAGATGGTCCTCGGAAACCTCCAAAGAAAGAAACACAACACACAAACCCCACCCACACCTGTCTGTCTTTCCCTCCGCCATCATCCCCCACCCTGACTAAGGAGGTCTCTGGGTGCACAGCAGGGACAAGCCTGGCTGTGGGCATGCAGGCACTGAGCCCAGACAGCTCTACCAGGCCTCTTCGTGCTAGGGCTAGGGCTACCCACTCCTGGGAACACCACACACTATATGGCATTCACTCACACCAATGACCCTGGCTGCCCTAAGGGAGGGACTGTGCAGATACCCCCATAGATGCTAAGGCCAGAGCCATTAGAGCCAGTCTATAGAGCATCACTCAGCCCACACAGCACCTACACACACACACACACACACACACACACACACACACACACACACACACACACACAAGTGAACCACAAATGCCAACTCACATAAGCACCCTACATAACACCAAAACTTAACATGGTATCAGAGCGAGCACTCCTAAACACCGCCTCAATGTCTACATGTATGCCTGCACAGACACAGAGTTCTGCACCCCTGTCCCAATGCACACAAGTGCCCCTGAACCCAGTCTGCCAGTCCTCAGGCCCCCGTTTCTAATCCACACAGTTGACACTGCCCCTATAGCTGCATGACCTGGCTCACTTCCCAGTGTGGACCATCTCTGAAGCCCAAGCATCACCAGGCACAGGCTCTGCCATCACTCTGGCCCTCTGGGCTTGGTTACCAGGGGACAGGCAGAGTGAGGGTCAGGCAGGATACATAGTCACTTCCTAGAGGGGTCACAAGCCCTGACTCAGCCCAGCCAGCCCCAGTGTTGAGGGGTGAGGCAGATAGAGAGTGATCCTGCACAGTCCAGACCAACATCAGGTCCAGCATGACTGGCCTTATAAGCCCAGGGTCTGAGCTGGAGCAGCTGAGTGGACTGAGGCTGTGGCCCAGAATAGGTAGAAAGGAGAGCTGGTCCCAGGGCAGGTCTGCTGGCAGCCCAGCTGGCCCTTTCTCCTGGTCCTTCCCGCCGCCTCATCCTGCCACACAGAGAGTCGCCCCCAGTCCCATCTCGGTGGGACAAGCACTGACCACCCCCTCTCTGTCCAGAGATGGAACTGGATGAGACCTGTGTCGAGGCCCAGGACGGGGAGCTGGACGGGCTCTGGACGACCATCACCATCTTCATCACCCTCTTCCTGCTCAGCGTGTGCTACAGCGCCACGGTCACTCTCTTCAAGGTTGGACGTGCTGCCTCCACCTGTTCCCCCGCTGTCCCACAATGTGCACACTGTCCCCACACCGTCCTTTTGAGTCAAGCTCTCCCCACCTCACTGTCTCAAGCTTTTCCCTGTGTTGTCACATGTTGTCCCCAACACAGTCATTTGCTCTCTTCATACCCCATCATTATCCCTCTACTGTTCCATGTTGTACTTGCGCCATCCACACTGTCTCCTCGTCTCCATGCTTCCCCAAGTTGTCACCCGCCCTACCCATGCACTGTCCCCAACACTGTCTACACACTGTTTCTATGCTGTTCCCCACTCTGAGCCCACCTGGTCCTCCCAGATCCCCATGGTATTCCCACAACATCCCTTGTTCTAGCCATACACCATCTCAAAACTGTACCTGTGCTGTGCCCCATAATGTCAGCTGTCCTCTATCTTCACCCCAGCTGAATGTCACCCCAGGGGTGGGAACTGCCCCTGCCTTACCCACAGGATGGTGGGGACTGGGCAGGCGCAGTTCATCTCACCTCTCTGTCCCACAGGTGAAGTGGATCTTCTCCTCTGTGGTGGAGCTGAAGCAGACGATCGCACCCGACTACAGGAACATGATCGGTCAGGGGGCCTAGGCTGCCACCTCAGAGGGGCTTGGGGCTTCTTGGGCCTTGCAGGACCAAATTCATCCTGCCAAATAGCATCCTCTGACTCTGCCACCAAGCTCCCTTCCCCGCTTGGAGGAAATGTGGACAGGAGGCTCTGCCCTAGACCACAGCCAAAAGGATCCAAGTTGCCAGAATGCTGGATGGGGCCAGACGTACCATGTGCTCCCTCAAAAGAATGTATGAGCCCTCAGGACAGCAGGGCACTGTCTCAGGAGATCTGGGTTCCCACATTACCTGCATTCAGCTAGACAGGAACCAGCCTTGGAGCCAGCCCTGTCCACACCATCCTCTCCAAAACAGGGTTTCCTGAGAAAAGAAGAGATTTCTAGACCCTTAAAAGGAGACATCTGCCCCCAGGGCTGGGAAGCCAGTGCCACTGCAGCCCAAAGGGATCTCCAGCTAGGCTGCTAAAGGTCACTCTGATGGCCTTTGCTCGACCAATGCCCAGCCCGGCTCCTTCTGGGCACTTAGGTGAACCCCTCGCTTCAAGAAAGGGCCTGTGTTTGTCAGGCTCTAGGGACCAAACCTCCTCAAGATGGGGCTCCTTGTCCAGGCCCCTCTTCCTGCTTCCTGCCACCTGCTCACCTGTGGGATTCTCAGACACGGACCCAACAACAGACTGTGCTGATCCCACAGCCTCAACATCAAGACACTGTCACTTCCCTGGAGGTCACAGCTGCACTCCAAAGAGACACGCAGAAGACGGCATGTGCTTCATGACCTCTCTTGATCCTGGCAGGATCTGAACAAGGTCATAAGGACCTTCAGGAGGAGGGCCTGGTGGACTGATCTCCTAGAAGGCGACCAGAGGGAGAGAGATGTAGGGAGGGGAGCCAGGCCAGAGTAGGGCCTCCGTGCAGGCCTGGCATCTGACCCGGCCACTTACAACAGAAGTAGATGGAATAGATGTCCAGGAGGAGAGCCCAGGCCTGGGGTCCTGAGGATAACCGGCCACTGGCACTGGATACAGGTGCCGTTTCTCCATCTCATATCACAGCAAATGCCAGATCAGAGTCTCCAACCAGGAGAGAAAAGGAAAATGGGACAGAAAGAAAGGGCCCATGGCCCTCAGAGACTGACAGGAAGTGCCCGTTAGCACGAAGCTTAGCTTTGCCAGCTTTTTACTTCAAATTAATCTTTAAAGTCTCTCGATATGTTTTAGTGACAATAAAGTACTCTTCAACACTGTGTCTCTCCCTCTGCTCTGCCTGTGTGGACCAGCCCCACCGTCCATGTGCAGAAGTCCCCTCCCTTGGTGCCAAAACCTCACCCACCCAGCAGTCAGCTCTCAGTCTTGAGTCTCCTCTAAATGATCAGGTAGGGGTGAACTGTGGGGTGCAATCGTTCTGGAGTCAAACTTAGCACATGCAGGCTGTGGCTGCCAGGAGGGAGGGGCACCCGGGAAGCAGAGGACAGGTAGACACCAGGATCACAGGAGCAAATGCTGAGTCAGGGGCAGATTGTAGACTGATAATTTGCAGTGGAGAAGGCAGTCTGGTGAACATGGGCCCTGCTTCCTCTGGTACCAGGTGGCAGCCTTTCTAAGGGAGTACAAGGGAATGGGGAAAGGTAGACAGGGCTCCTCATGTGTCAGTGCTCTGTGAATTTACAAAGTGGAGTTTGGTATCTGAAGCATCCTAGGACAGAGACTTGACTGTCAGAAACTTGTCTGTTCAGGTCTGCGTAGGCTGTGGTGGAGGTTTGTGCAGAAGACTCAGAGTGGCTGGGCTGGTCGGGGGACCCTGTCAAAGCAGCTTCTAGGAGGGCAGAAGCCAGGCTAGCCAGCACTAGTGCAGTGTCTAGTGTTGGGAAGGACTTGTTTTGCCCAGGACTGGGGAGCAGCAGATTCCTGTGAGTGGCATTTCTGCTATGGGAGTTGCACAAAGATGGGTAGTAAAACACGGCATTTCATTCATAGCCAGTGCCCAACTGCACAGTGAGCTGCGTGGAGCCTGGGCTTGGACTAGGTATGCTGAGCAGCTGCCTGGAGCTGGATGCTTGAAACACGTTTTGTGGGTGCAGGGCATTGAGACCTAGGGTACAAGGGTATGGCTCAGACTGTCCCAGACCTGATGAAAGCTGCTGGGCCTTACACACACCTCCCACCCAGAGTATGAGAAAAACCAACCTCCCTCTAAGGTGAGCAAGACAGGCGATGTAGTTCTTTGAGTTCAGAGAATATTCTGGACTTGGCGACCCTGGCAGGCCGGCACTTTCCCTGAGGCCCTACATGAAGAGCTGATATCTCCCTTCTGCCTCTTGGGGACCTCTGGGTCTCCCTTGTAGACAGGAAAGGAAATAGTGTCTGACCAGTAATCCAGTCACTCCACAGCCAAGCAGGCTGGGCTGGAAGAGAGCAATCACGGTTCATTTTCCCAGGGCACAAGGGCTGGGCTCCTGCGTGGTTATGAGACACCCTACTTCCAATACCAACTTCTGCAAGAGTTTCCATAGCTTCTGGTTTCTATAGCTCAGCTTGAACTCTATTGGAACTCAGTGGAGCTCTATTCTTTCTCTGCTCTGGAAGCTAAGGATCTAGGATATATGGTCAGAAGTCTGGGTTCTCCATGTTGCAGACAGAATCTGTCACAGGCCCCGTCAAGCTCTACGGCAACAGCCCTTCTCTTCTAGAAGGAGCACACTAGCCAGGACTGCACTCTTACAGCCTGCCTTCTCCCCTTACATGTGTCATGTATCCACCGCCCCTTTCCAAGGGCCCAGTCCTGCTGGGTTAGATGACCACCCTGATCCAGCAGGAGCTCACCTCCACTTGATTCCACCCGCAGACTTGGTTTCTAAATGGGGCCACATTCTGAGGTCTGAACTTGGGACTTCAACATGTGTATCAGCTACTTTTCTTCTTGTTGTGGGGAAATACCTATAAGAAAGAAGAATTGTTTGAGTTCGAGATGAAAGATCCATCATGACAGGGAAGGTGCGGAGACGACAGCCGCGTACAGGGGAAGGCTGTGCCAGCTGCCTGCTCCTTGGTGTCACCTGGGAGCTGAGAGGTTAGGCTGGAACCAGAGCCAGGAAATAACACATTATCCCTGATCACATGACCCTATATTTTCCCAGCCTTGGAGACCTGGACAGACAGGAAAAGGGTATTATAGCAAGTAGGTCTGGCCCTTCAGTCATCATCTGCCAGGTCCATGAGCACTGACATCTGTTCCCAAGGCAGGTCTGAATCCTGACTCTGGACACTTGCTCCCGGGCCAGGCCCAGATCCTGGCTTTAGACAACCCCAGGGCAGGCTTGGATTCCGGCTCCAACATCTGCTCTCAGGACAAGCCTGGATCCTAGTTCCTGACATACAAGGAAAATTCAGAAACTGTCCAGGGCCAGATATGCATGTCCCAAATGCATGACCCATTAGGCCCCTCCTAATGGTAATGGTAATCCACCACCTCCTAATAATGCTGTCATATTCTAAATCCACCAAAGGGTTAATCCACTGATTAGTTCAGAGCCCTCATGGTCTAATCATCTCTGGAAAGCCCTACATAGACACCTCCAGAGACATGATGTCACTCAACCTGATCAAGGATGAGCCATCACATCAGAGAAGTAGGACCCTTACCACAAGATTACAGCCTCAGCTCATGCCTCAATTTCCATCCTGCTGCCTTGCCCCAAGGATCTCACACTTGCCACCCACATTCCCTGCCCAATTGTATAGTCCCACTCCTTAAAAGCCCTCAGTCCTTCTCCATAACTGTATCTGGGGCTTTGTCTATATAATCGTCCTTCTGTAACTGCAGCTCTGGCTCTATTTCTGTCCCTGTCGTTCTTCTGTCATCTATCATGTGTCATGAGCAAAACCACCTCAAAGAGGAAAAGGTTTAATTTCATCTTACAACTCCCAGGTCACAATCTAACATCATGGGAAGGCAGGGCAAGAACTGAAGCAGAGACCTTAGAAAAATTCTGCTTGCTGGCTCGTTCCTCCAACCTAGTCTCAGCCTGTTGCTGTTGTTGTGAGTGCTTTAATTTCAATAACTTATTTAATGATTCCATTTGAAAAATAACAACCTTACACAGACTGGCATATTCTCAAATTACCTATGTATAAATAATTTGATTTTCCTTTTGTGCCTGAGAAAGGAGTAAGCACACACACAGACACACGTGTGTATGTGTGCATGTATGCATGCCCGTAATGCAACCAGACTAGCCAGAACAGTGAGTCTTGCTCTGTCACATTCTCTCTTATTTCCTGTAGACAGCACCTCACTGAAGCCAGAGCTCCATGTTTTCCAGCTGTGCAGGCTTCAGCCTGATTTCTTATATAACTCAGGCCCACCTGCCCAGGGGTGGCACCACCCACAGTGGGCTGGGCCCTCCCACATCAACCAACAATTAAGAAAATGCCCCACAGACATGACCATAGGCCAATATGATAGCGGAAATTCTCCGCTGAGATTCTCTCTTCCTAGACTTGTCAAGTTGACAACTGAAACTGTCCAGCACATCACCTACCTCTTATCATGTATGCCTACTTATGTATGCTTTTATCATTTATCTCTATTATTCTATTTCTCTACCCTCTGTCATCCAGCCATCATCTCCCACTGACTGTGCTTCTCTGGAGAACATTGAGTACTCGTTTCTGAAACTCTGAAAAAGCCTAAGACTGGACATGCTCACTACAGTGGAATACCACCATAAGACGGGCTCTTATGTATCAAAGCTTGGCCTCTAAATTGTTATCCAAGGATAACCTTGATCTATGATCTTCCTGCCCCTACCTTTGCAGTACAGGGATTACAAGCACATGTCACTATACCTGGTATGTGTGATGGCAGGGATCAAACCCAAGGCTTCCTATGTGCTAGACAAACACTACTAACCAAGCTACAGCCCCAGCCAAGGTCCAGCATTTTGATGACATTTAACTCAGTCAGCTTTGCCAGGGCAAACTGATAACAAGAGCAATCAGTGAAAAGTCTCCCTCCTGCACAAGCTCTTCTCACTCACATCTGTGTCTAC